GTCATTTTTCCTTCCCCCAAAAGGGTTAATGGTCTCTTTTCATTTCTTGGTTCTACCCTCCAGATATTTCCAGGAATTTAACCTAGTTAGAAAGGTAGAGGGTCCTGTCTGTTCTGCTCCACTTTCTTATATAGACCATGTTACAGATATGTTTATTCTTAGCCTAAAATTAAATGCTTCTGTCACTGAGGGGTTAGAGGGAAAAAGAAACCCTATTTCCATAATCAACCATGAACATTTTCATGATCTAATTAGCCCCTCATAAGAAATGCAGATTCATTGGAAGGTAGCTTTACTATTTACTTGGCCCACAAAGAAACTTTACAGCAAGGCAAAATGCGTATCATTTTTATTGACTGTTTTTCATGCACTGATACTCAGGGGAGCTCTAACAGGTGCTCTGCTATCCCAGGCTCTCTGTCATTTATTTCCTGAACCCCTGCCTCTTTGCCTGCTACCGTGCCTTCTTCCAATCTACTTTCATGCTGCCAACTAAATTAGTTCCCTATAACAAGCCATACGATGTGTGTGTGTCTGTCTGTGTGTGTGTGTGTGTAGGTGTGTAGGTGTGGAGGGAAGGGGAGTCCTTCATTGCCTATAGAATAAAAATCCAAACTTTGCTATCTGCTTTTATTTTCACTTCTTTCCCTCTTTCACTTTCTTTCTTCTTCCCTCCCTCTCTCCCTCCCTCCCTCCCTTCCTTCCTTCCATCCATCCATCCATCATAATTAAGTCTAAAAGACATTAGGTCTTAATAAGGGAGGGGAGATGGCAGCATCCTAGGGAAAGTCAGAGCCTGAGCAGGGTAAGGAAACCATCTCTGCAGGTGGCAGCCGCCAGAGTGGATGATTCAGTGGATGGTGTGAGCCCAGTAGGGCTGAGAGGGACACCTGCGTGAAGTCGGGGTGGGAGAGGCGGCAACAGTGAAAGAAGATTGGTTACTAACAGGAAGATAAATCAAATGAGTGATTAGCACATGTATTTAGAATAATATATGTAGAATAATATATGTAGGAAGCCAGGTTTCTCACTGATGGAGAAATAAATAACAAAAATGAAAAGGTAGGAAACTAAAATAAATCCTATGGTATTCAATTCGAATTGGACATACTGGCATAAACTCATGATTTTACATATAGAAATAAATACAGTTGGTGAGGTGTGTGAACATGTATAGACAAATAGACAGACAGCCAAACAGGATGTACATCCATGCATATATTGCGTAGATCTGCCCACTGAGGCCTAGAAGCATCAATATTCCAGAGCTTGGCTTCTAAATATTATTCTGCACTAAAAGAAGCCAGGGCTCCATGGAGAAATGACTAATTCTGGGACTTGGGAAGTTTAGGTCCAAAATGAACCTGGAGTGCTTTGTTGTGCCAAAAAGTAAGAAGGTGGTCAAAGAAGGATGGGGACAAGTCAAAAGGATATATGTGAAGGAGCACTCACTGGCCAAATCTCGGGCAATGTGAATGTCAAAATAAATTATGATAATAAAAGGCTGTCATCCATTGAATAAAATAGCAACCATGAGCCTGTACTAATATAAATAAATGAATGAATAAATAAATGGAAAGAGAACAAAGTTTTTACTTACAACGAATGTTAACTGATGACTTTGGAAGGAATGACAGAGATATAAAAATTACAATTTGGGAATCAACACAGTAATAATTAATTTATCCAAGAAACATCGAGTACCAAAACTAGCATGAAAGTTTGATGGGGAATGGGATATTAGCATAGTTTCAAATTGCTCCTCACAAAATACTCATTGATTAAAAGGGGGAAAGCAGTAAGTCTATAGTGGAGAAACTTGGCAAAAAAATCTTAAGCCATCAAAGTTAACATCCCCATAATGGGACAAATCTAAATCACGAACCACCTGATGGGATGCAGTGGGACCACAGCATCACTTTTGTGGGTTTTCTGTCCACCTCCTTTCCCAAAAGTATATCCTGAATCAAATTATGAGGAAACAGAAAAACTCCCAATTATGAAACATTCTACAAAATAGTCAGACTTATTTTTAAAAGTGTCAGACTATTGTGATTGAATGAAACTGAGCAGTGGGGAGAATAAAGTTGAATCAATGAAACAAGTTTATCATCAAGTATCATCTATTCAAGGCTGGCTTTGTTGCAATAAAGGGCTATGAGATTTGTTATGAATGGTTTGTTATTATTTATGTGTGCTCTCATTTTCCTCTTCTCCCTAACTATATCTGTTTACTTGTTGAATTGCTTTCAAGACAGTTCTTTGAGGACCAGATCTGCATACAGAACTCTGCATTGCTGAGTTTAATAAAACAGGGAAACTAAGGTTCCTGAAAAACGTTTTCTCCACTTATGATTTAATTCATCGTTAAGGTTGTTAGAAAAACTGGAAATATATTTGCATGTATTGTAAAGACTAGAAAACTTGAAGTTTTTTTTTCTTTATATAAGATTCATTCGGTTCATAAGTAAATGGCTTTTAGAAAATTAGCATAATCCTTTCTTTTGTCCTAGTAATATCTTGCGCTCTCATGCTTTGTATTTTATTAATTCTGCACAATACTCCTGTGAAGTAGGTTGGACAGGAGTAAAGACTCTTTCAGGTACAAATGATTTAAAAAAAAAATAACCCAAGACAATTTAAGCCAATAAAACAATGTTTTTGCTTAGGTAACTGAGAAGTCTAGGGATAGATCTTTATTCCATCTATGGCTAAATCCAAAGACTCAAATGACATCAACAGGGTCCTGTGTTCTATTGTTCAGGTCTGTTTTCTTTTATATGTTGCCCTCATTCTCTCCCACTGCAGACATGTCTCCTGCAAATTGCTGGAGAAGATGCTCAATGATAGCCTTAGTTTCACATTATCCCAATACAAAGACACTAAATGCAGGAGATAGCATTCTTCACCAGCTCTAGTTGAAAAATCTTTAGAGGACGACTGTAATTATCAGCTCAACCAGGACCACTTAATGGGAGAAGGGCTCCCGGGAAAGGATGCTTAGCAGATAATGGATGTTCTCTGGAGTGGGCATATCCTCTGAACGGTCATCTACATATGGAAAGGGAAGCACAGAAAAATGAAGTAACTTCTTCAAAATCACACTACTGGTTGGTGAGAAAGGTAAACCAGAAATCCATGACTCCTCACTCATACCTCATATAATGCCTCTGCTCTTGCCTGTATTCCTTTGGTGTATGTATCTTTATTTTACCATTTCAAATTAAAAAAACAGGGCCCATAAGTCTTCATAAATACTATAATGTCATTCCATTACATCTATTTCTTTGTCTTCCATATATACATCAATAACTTCACATTCAAGGAACCATACTTATACCTGCCTTATTTGCTTCAATATTTGTGGATAACTCAGGGTTGGTAAAAGGATGTGATGATTTTCTGTAGCTTTGGTTTTGTTTTGGTTTTGCCCCCACACATTATGGGCACTTTATACCAACATTTTAAGGTGTTTTTTTGAAAAGTCACTCTTAGCGGGGCGCCTGGGTGGCTCAGTCGTTAAAGCGTCTGCTTTCAGCTGAGGTCAGGATCCCAGGGTCCTGGGATAGAGCCCCACATCGGGCTCCCCGCTCAGCGGGAAGCCTGCTTCTCCCTCTCTCACTCCCCCTGCTTGTGTTCCCTCTCTCGCTATCTCTCTCTCTGTGTCAAATAAATAAATAAAATCTTTAAAAAAAAAGTCACTCTTAGAATACAAAATTTGAATAAATATACATTGACAGGTAATTATTCCTTTCCTCAATATATTCCCTAATTTTGTCATGATCATAAACGTAATAACATGATTTACTATAAAAGTGTCTCATCTTCCTATAAGCAGGCCAGTGGCTGATTTGGAGAAAAGAAAATTTGACCCAGGGCCAACCCACACAGATCCTAGTTTGGTTTTGTCCATTACTAGTTTTGTGGACGCCAGCCAATGGCTTAAAATATGAGCCTTAGTAGTATCTTCCTTGCAAAAGGGCAGTGGTATTGTGGCCTTATTTTGATACTTAGAGTGTAGGCTAAATTCTTGTAAGTAACAAACATACATGTTAGTACTTCTACATTTGTTTAAAATCTGGCTTTTCTTATGAACTCATCAAAATAAGTAGAGAAACATGTGAAAACTGTTACTTTAATGGAGAGCTCTTCTTGGTAGAATTGAGTCAGTTTTCTAGAAAACTCAACTCAAAATGTCTTAATTGAGAAATACAGACAAACCACACAACCGGAAGGCAAAAAAAATGTTTCTTCTAAGGTTCTCTACGTTCCCTGATACTTATTTTCTTTTTATACTTTCTTGTGCCTTCTGTAATGTTAGAAATTCTATTTTTGAAGCAAGGAAAAGAGAAAAGCATCTTTTCGTTCATTACAAACGTTCCCTTCGGAGATTATAGCTCCGGATCTCTCCCAGCCGCAAGGTTCTCTGCTCCTCCAGCCGAGCCCCGGACGCACTCCAGAGGCGCACATCGCCACCTGCTGGGAGCGTGGGCAGAGCCAGCCAGGAGTCTGCGGCTGAGGGCCGACTTGGTGACGGACTTCGCGGCTCGGAACCTCAGAAACGCCTCAGTGCTCTCTGTACACACACCTACCCGCCCGGGAAGTCCAGGCTTGGCTGCATCTCCAACGCCCTTAGCTTCCCGGAGCCAAGTACTGCTCCTCAATCCTGCCTAAGGTAGGATTGGGGCGGGACGGTCCAATCCGCCCTGACGCTCTTGGGGCGGGATTTCCCATGGTGGGTGGAACTTCGCCCTAGAGGCGGGGCTTCGCTATGTTTAGAAGACGCAATAGAGAGTTCGCTCTGTGGGCGGGGCTACGTTACGAGGGCGGGAACCCGCTCGTGAGCGGAATTACGTTCGGTGGGCGGGGCTTCGTCTGGTCAGGCCCGTGCTCTGTGGGTGAGACCCCGCTGGGTGGGTAGGGCTTCGCCCGGTGGGCGGAACTACGGCCTGTGGGAGGAATTTTGATTGGCTCCTTCCCCCCCGACCCCTCCCGAACTTCCTGAAGATCTTCTGCGTGTAAATGGTGTCAGTCGGAGCGTGAGTTGCTGCGCGAGGGTATTGAAGGTATGGGGAGAGGTTAATAAATTTTCTGGCAGACTGGCGTGTAGTTTTCGGGGCTTGGGACTGGACTGGTGGGTCTCGTGCCAGTGAGGCCCGGAGGCTGGGCTCAGTTGCGCGCTGCCTCAGGCAGCCCTAGTGGGCAGCGGGCCTGCTGGCCCAGGCCTGAAACCCCGGTGCCTTTTGAGCCTTAAGCCCTTGTCAGGGTACCAGTTTTTCGTTGTGCCTCTTGTCATCCCAATTTTCACGCTGCTGTCAGAGAATTTCCATATTGCCCCACCCCCAGGGTATTCCCGTCTCCATGAACCTTTCTCAAGTCCACTGCTCTGGTGGACTCCTCCCTCTTGTGTCCCTTTGTATGCTGCCTCTAGCAAGACTATCATGTAATCTGTGTTTGTATCACATACATATATGTATATCACTTTTTCTATGTCTATCACTTTTGTACCACTCCTGGCACATCGTAAGTTATTAATGAATACTAGATAAGTGATTGGATTTTGGTTACTATTTTAAGGATTTTAGATTATTTAATTGGGGGGATATGATGTGTATTTTCTACTTCCTCTGTAGTAATCATGAGTTTCCTGTGTTCATGTTTGTTTGTTTAAGTAGGAGTACCACTGGTGTTTACAAGCATTGCTGTCCTTAAGTAGTTTACTGAAGCTAGATTCTGAAGCAGGATATAAATTTCAGTCGAGAGATACAAGTTGAGCAAAGGAAAGAAAGGAATATGCAGAGTGTCTTCAGAGAGAAATTAGTAGACTAGGATGGGTGTGTACAGAGAGGTGGCAGGAGATATGTTTGACATATTTATCCTAGATTTGGGGTTCCAGCATTATACCAGGACAAAGCACACTGCCCCTAATGCATTAGAAGAGTCATTCAAAGTTTTTAATATTGGGGAGGATCATCACATAGCACTAGGCATAGACTTGAATGCAGATGACTTAAGCCAGGGGTTGGCAATCTTTCTGAAAGGGCCAGATAATAAATATTATTTGTTAAATAGATACATACTAGGCTTTGTGGGCCACAGTTGTAGCAGGAAGGTAGCCATAGACAATACATAATCAAATGGACCTTAGCTGCGTTCTACCAAAACTTTACTTAGAGACAGGTGCCTGACCTAATTTCATCCGTTGGTATAGATTGCCAATCTATGGTCCAACCAAATGGACCTAGGGACCATAGGACTAATCCAGTCCTCAACTAGTCAGTACTACATTATGTTCACTTATACATGAGAAGCTATATCACATAATGTTAGCTCTGGATCTAGTCTCCCCAGCTTTGAATCCTATCATTTCTTGATTACTAACTGTGTGACATTGGGCAAATTAACCTGTTTGCATCAGTTTTGTCTGTAAAATGGGGATAATAGTACCTCCCACAAAGTTATGCAGAGTAAATTAAAGCACATAAAATGTTCACATAGTGCTTATACACGTACTAGAAGCTCAATAAATCTTAACTATTAATATTTTTAAAATTTTCTCATATGCATTGTTAAAGCAGGTTTGAGACATGTTTCTAAGGTAGGATTTATAGGCTTAGTGTATGTTTAGCTATAGAGCAAAGAAAATATGTAAAGTTTCAAGAGCCGTTCACATAGAGGTGATATGGAAGTTGTGAAAGTAATTAAAGGTAGGAAGTCAGGATTAAGGACTGATTTTGAAGAAGTGTATATAGGAGAGAAAGTGGGGCAAGTAAAAAGGAATGAAAAAGGAAGAAGGAGACAGGAGTCCATCTTAAAGTATGATAGGAACCAGAATGGTATATGTAAACTAGCAGGATGGATGGTAATGGTTAACATTGTCAGATGCTGCAGAGAGCTGAGAAAGCAATTGTGTTAATAGTATTAAAGAATTCAACCAGCAGAAATTAACGTGGTACTTCCTATGGGCCAAGTATTAGAGACAAAAGAATTAGATACATACTCTGCACTCAAACAGCAGAAAACCTGGTAGTGACGAAAGACATGGACATAATTTAATACATGCAGCAACTTTAAAAATAATCAGGAATAAAATGGAATTTTAGACTAAATTGGTAGCTTTACTTTAAAAACTTAAATTCATTTATAGTTCATAAATGTGGGCAGCTTAATTGAGCTCCTTTTCTTTTTTCCCTAGACAATGGCCAAGAACAAACTAAGAGGGCAGAAGTCTAGGAATGTATTTCATATAGCCAGCCAAAAAAACTTTAAGTCTAAAAACAAAGCGAAACCAGTTACCACTAATCTTAAGAAGGTGAGTATTAGTTAAGTATTCTGATTCTATTGTTTACAAGCAAAGCATAGTTGTAAAGCCACTGGAAAACTGAATGCTATTATTTAAAACAGTTTCTTAGCCTTTCTCATAAAGGCAAGATGATTTCAAACATTTATTTTTTAAAAAAATGAAAAAAAATTACCTCCTTTTCTTGATGTAGATGTATGAAAAGAAAAAGACACTTCAATTGCAAATGCATGAGGCTCCAAAGAACAGTTTTTGTTTGTTTTTAAAGATTTTATCCAAAAAACAGTTTTAAGTTTTATCAGAGCATAGAAATTATCAAAAACCATGGTATGGGAAACAGTTCTTATCTCTGAACTCAAATATATTCAAGAACCTCTTAACAGAAGCAAGACATAAAATGCTGGTCAGCACCTATTCATTCTCTCCTCAGTAATTCTTATATCCTTGAAGATATCTACAACTCAAACAAAAACCTATAAAATAAGATACTTTCTTTCTTAAAGAAAGGAGTTTCTCTTTTTTTTTCAAAGTATTTGAGAAATGGGAAATTTCTTCGAGATTAAGTAGATTCTTTAAGAAAATTATTCAAGGAAATGTTTTCAAGTTTAAGTAGTAGGTGGAGTCAGCTCTCCAGGACTTAGTAATTGTCATAGTAGTCATAGAAATGTAACATTTTATCTTTCAGTTTTCATGAACTACCTAAATCAAGCCTTTTGATCAAGGATTTTTATGACTTAATAAATGCTACAAAGAAAATAAAGCCAGGTGATATGATACGGGTAGGGAGTAACAATTTTATAGAGGATTATCTTCAAAGTTGACATTGAAGCCAAAATCCAGATGATAAGGAGCAAGTAATCGAAACTTCTGTTAAGTGTTACGAGCAGCATATTCTAGGCAGAGAATAGCAAATACAAAGGCCCCAAGCTAGGGAAAAACTTGGTGTATTTGACTGACAGGAGATCATTTTGTTCGAATAGGAGTACTAGAAGCTTTATGTATGCTAATGGAAAGATCTAAGAGAGGGAAATCTGGATAGGCAGACTGGTTGGAGAAATGATCAGTTTTCTCAGAAAGTGGCCTAACTTACTAAATGGAGGTTGTAAGATTGCCAGGCACTATATAAATGGTAAATTAAAGTTTGTGGTCATGAACTTAAAGTGAAGCCAGCCAGTCAGTCATGATTTCCTCCAGCTTCAGTTTTAGGCTCAGAAAAAGCTGTCAATTGAGTTTAACTAGGTTGCCAAGCAGGTTTGATTAAGAGAGAGAAGGAAAGTTAAGCGAGTGTAAAGAAGTGATTGATTAATGGTCATGGAATCTGTGCTGGCTAAAGGAAGAAGTGAGGATATGAAAATGTGAAAAATTGTGACATTGGTGGGAGATGATTTCAGTAAGACTTAAGAATTGTTAATGTTAGTAAACTAAGTGAACTAGAGGAACTGGAGGTGGTGCACTTACAAGTAATGATGCAGCCAAAGGTAATCCATGAGAGTGGATGCCTGAGGTAGGTAGTGAAAAAGAACCCTGAAGTTGAGGACCTGAAGAGATTAAGAAACCATAGGATTGGATGTTTGTTGAAGCCCATAACCAGGCATGAGAGAGGTCAGTGAGCCGAGGTTTGGGATTCTTTATGAGGGAGCAAGTAAATGTGTTGGCAGATGACAGTAATGAGGAAAGAGAGGTATCAGAATGTTCTGATGATGCCTTAGGTACAAAGGAGCTGAGTTTTTAATGAGAAATGGTGTGAGAGCAGCAGTGAAGAACAAGAATATCACCCCACCTCTTAGATTTAAGAGAGGAGTGCTGCAAGGGAAATTGTCCTCAGGAGACTGGAAGGGACTTCCGATAAAGCAGGAAGGTCAAGGAAGGATTCAGAGATGGACTGTTAGAAGGAGAGTAAGTCATTTGATCCAGGTTCCTCATTTTACAATGAGAGATGATAGTATTTTAGTGTGCCTGTACCAAATCTACATATGAGGTATGTTCACATAATTCTTATTTTTAAAAAACCAGAACCTTTGTCTAAAATTTCCCAATAAGACCATGAAATTTTTTGTGTGAATTTTCCCCACAAATGGGAGGGTTGATGAATTTTTAGGTTTAACAAGGTTAAATTAAAGTTGGATATATTGTATCATTAATGGTTACAAGATTGTAGATTAATACCTTTTTTCTTTTTTAAAGATAAACATTGTGAATGATGAAAAAGTTAACAGAGTGAATAAAGCTTTTGTAGATATACAAAAGGAACTTGCCCATTTCTCAAAAGGCCTTTCCCTTGAACCTTTGCAGAAACAGCTGGTGAGTAGAAATCAGTTCCTTTTGTTATGGCTAATAAATTAAACTCCCAACTTTTTAAAGCCAGAAGTTGAATGCATTTTAGTATTTGGATCTCTACTATACTTGGCCTTGTAGTATATGCAGCATATTGAGTCATATTCAGACTCTAAAACCTTGAGTCCAAATATGAGAATTTATTGTTTTACTTCTCAAGGTAGGACTAGAAGAAATTAAGTTAGATAATAGATTATATACAAGTCATTTTTGCTCACTATTGTTATCTACATTTTAAAATACAATATTTTTCTCCCTTCAGATTCCTCAGCAGTGTCATGAAAACGAACCAGTTAATGTTGATGAAGCAACAAGATTAATGGCTCAGTTGTAATACACTGGAGATACAGCAGATACCCCAAAAAGACCAATAAATTAAATGTTTTATACAGTTTTATTTTTAAAAATCTTGTTAATGTACAGGCATTGGCACATTTTTAAAACAAACTACATAAACAGATCTTTCCTATAATCTAGGAAAGTGGAATGTCAGAAGTCAACAAAATGTGATAAACTTAAAGTGCTAAAACAGAAGGCACTTCACAAAATGTGTTCACTGAAACAGTTAATATATCCTACTTTACATCCTTCACTTTATAAGTGGCAGTGAATGTGTGTTTGGACTGGAGGACACGCAGAAATACGGACAGTTTCGTGGCAGTTAAAAAAAACAAGACAAACAAGTGATGAGCCGTTGGCCAACTTTTTTTTGTTTTAGATGGCCGTAAATCTACTTTAACTTTCCTCTCATAAGAGGAAAAAAAACAGAAGGATTCAGAATTGGAAGAAAAGCTGAAATCCCAGAATATAATTACTTGAGGGTGGAGGGGATTTGTAGGTATTAAATCACCTTTTCCCCTGAAAAAGGCCTTTGCTTTTATGGTTGAAAAGAGCCCTTTGTTTTTATGGTTGAAGTTTTGTGAAGTAAAAAAGAAAGTATTAGAGAACACTTCAGAATCAGTGAACTAAAAAGATGTTACATTCATTATTTTAAATACTTAGGTTATTAAGAAGTCTAAAATGTTACAGTTAGAGGTAGATAACAGTCCCGAGTTTCCATGGAATCTAATAATTTAGTATCTGGACATCAAACAGATCACAAACTCCTTCATTATCATCTAAATTAAAGTTGTAGTCATCTGCCGGCGTAGGAGAAAGCCGTAAGAGAGGAAACACTGCAAGCAAAACAAATTCAGTGTTAAACACGGTTTTTACATATAGTTAATGATGTTTAACAAAATACTCTCAAATACATCTATCCAAATTAAATTACATATAAGAATATTTTACAGTATATAATAGAAAAAGTAATAATTTTGACTTGTATCTGGTGTATATTTTGAAAGATTCTCATTTAAAGATTCTTATTTAAAGATAATGTATGCATTGGTATGCATAGGTATAGCATGAGAAAAAGAGGCTAAAATTTTTATTGTTTGAACTTGTCACACTAAAATATGTGCTTCAGAAATATTGATCAGGATGCCTGGGTGGCTCAGTCGGTTAAGCATCTACCTTCAGCCCAGGTCATGATCCTAAGGTCCTGGGATCAAGCCCTTCATCCGGCTCCCTGTTCACCAGGGAGTCTGCTTCTCCCTCTCCCTTTGCCCCTCCACCCACTCATGCTCGTTCTCTTTCTTCTCTCTCTCAAATAAAGAAATAAAATATTTTTTTTTAAATTGGTCAAAGAATGTCCTCTGACCTGCTGAATAAGTTACTACTTTGAAAACAAGTAGGAACTCGATTTAATAAATTTGCTGATGTTCTGTTTCTACAGAAATGTTTAATCTCAAATGGTTACTGTACCATTTGCTTATGTAACAGTTGCAACTTCCTAGGTTTGGCTATATTTGTTAGGAACCAGGACTGAATCCAAGAACTTACAGAAAGGTGAAGCCAAAAGAGTTACTATTAAAGTAATTACAAATTTTTTTTTGTATTTTTAATAGTTTTAAAAATTATTTCAGATTAGATGGCGACTTGGCTAATGTTAGTAATAGTTCACGTACTTCACATTTGTATCTTGAAATTGGCCTTAGTAGGGCTATTTACAAAAATAGGTTTTGAGATTACCTATATATTATTTTACTCTTCCTGGCCAAATTCTTCAGATGTGAAAGGGCCAGTGTGCTAACTGTAGAAATTTATTCAGTGATGGTAATAAGTATCTCCTTATGGGCTCTTTTTTCTCAAAATGCAGGAAAATAAAAATTCTGAAGGATGCCTATGATTTACTGTTAAGTGGGAGATTTTTCATGAATCGTCATAGTATGTTAAGCAGTTAAATATAGGTTCCACATTTAACTCATGCCATTTATAAATTCTAGAAAAGCATTACTGATATATAAAGTACTTAGTAAAATTTTAAACTACTTACCATCAGAAGACATTAACTCATCAATGATATCTCCACTAATAGATCCTGCTGGAAACAGAAATGGGATAAAGTTTTGTTACATTTCTATTTATATATTTTAATAGTAAAAAGCAATTACATTTAAATGCAGTTTATATTTAAACATATATTCAACAGCTAATTTAAACAGCAGCTTGATTAACAATACAGTGTTAAGGTAATTGAACTTTATGGAAAGATGCGATTTTCACGAGCACCTACTCTGTGCTTGGCATTACTTTTAAACTTCAAAACTCAAGATGTAGATCAAAAGACTCATCATCGTTCTCCCAAAACTTACTCCTCTGTTTTACAAAGTCAGTAGTACCATAATTCTCCCAGTCACCCCACCTTAAAACTTCAACATCACTCTCCATTCCTCCTGTTGTTAAAATTTATCTCCAGATCTCACATATCAAAGTTACTTTATTTTGCCTAAACAATATTCTCAAATATTTCTCTTTCCAATCCTATTATCATCCATTTTAGCTTTAATGTTCTCTCCTCGTTGTTTAACTGTGGACATCAGATCTTCAGTCTCCATTGCCTCTTATCCTGCTTCCCAAAGCATCTTCCCTAATCGTGTTACTCCTGTGCTTACCAGTTTACAATTCTAAGTATGCTACTTCCCTGCTCACAAATCCTCACTGGCTTATGGGCTAAAGTCCCAACTCAGTCTGATATTCAAGGTTCTCTCTAATCTGACCCCAAATTATTCTCTCTACTATTTCCAAATATAAAACTATATACAGAAATTTTTTAGTGCTTTGTGGAGACCAATGTACTAATTGTCTCTAAACTACATAAAACTTGCCTGTCTTTATACATTCCCCATTAGGTTATAATTAGATCATAAGCTTTTTAAGGAGTACACTTTCCACTGTGCACCCCCATTCTATCCCTGAAAGTATAGAAATGGTTACAGAGGAAGGAAAGGAGGACAAAAAGCTGAAAAATTGTCCAGTTAGATTTTTATAGCCTCATTCTTAACTATTGTGAACTCCCAGAGTAGTAAGGCTCACACCACATTCCAATGAGACACATCCCAAAGGTCAAAATAAACATGGGATTGTATACAGTGTAGTTTTTAATGATATGCAATATTACATCTAGACTGGCATGACTTAAGTCTTAAGTCATTCATTCAGCAACCATTGACAGAATATCTGCCATGGGCCTTTTATTTGAATCAGTAAGTAGTTGCTAAATATCTAGCCATGTAACCATGGAAAAAAATATAGAGTGCCCAAGGAAATTTTTATAATTTAGATGTGGACCCTATTCCTGATGCCCAGTTTTTAGAGTTTTAGTTATTTTCATTTCAGATTGAACAATTTAGGAAGGCAAGATTTCCAAAATTGGGTTTGAGACCTTTTTTCAGCTCTTTAAGCTTTGCAAATAAAAAGTATAGTGATAAGGAATATGAAGAAAGGAGGCAAACGTCACTATATTGTATACCAGTTTGACTTTTCTTAAAGGTAATTAGAACACATTTTAATCATTTATCCTAGAGTGACTAAGAGAGAAAAGAGCCTTACAAACCTCTGATTTAAAAAAACAAACAAACAAAAAAAACCCCTGACATGTAAATAGTAAAAATGGGGGAAAATGAACAAATTTCGATTAATTCCAAACATGGAATCCTAAGGAAAACTGCAAAGTTAGGCCCATTAACTATCTTTTCCTTGGTCACAGTTTATAATTCTACACAGTCTTAACCACATTATACTGTATTCAAAATTGTATGTGTCTGAATATACAATCCAATTGTATGTCTACGTTACCTAAGAAACAAATCTGTAGTAATACAATTAAAGGCAGGATCTGTTTTTAAATTTTCCTCATAATACCTAGCCCAGTGCTGGTCACGCTGACCAATTCAAAAAAGCTCACCAACTTGTTTAATATGGTATTCGTATTCATATTCTTCCTTCTGACTTTTTAAAACAAAGGCTCTAGACCCACCTGATGATAAGTCTGTGGCTGGTGTCTGTTGAAGATTTTGGCTTCTTTCGGAGACATGTTGCTCAGGCAGATTCTGAGTTGCTATGTTGGATTTCTGTGGGGTCACTGGAGTGGAGGGCTGAGACGAGGGTTGTGTGAGGTCATCAGGTGGGGGGACAGGAAAAACCACAGGCTTAGACGAATTGGACTCTTTATTTATAAGCAGCACGTGGATAGGTCCTGAATGACTCTTTAGATTGATCTGGTATTTCTTTTGTCCATTCTGACCCTTTAAAGTTATTGGGTATAAACAAATGAATAAATATTAACATTTCTAACTACCTTGGAACATTAAAAATTAAGATAAGCAAAACTACTAGGGACTAATTATTATATAGCATAGAATTATATATAGCAAAGTCAATAAATGTCTTTGACTCAATTAGAAAATGTTTTGAAAAAGGCCCAATTTAAAGCAATCTATTATTGTTGATATTTAAGTTGAACTTTTTCCTCAGGATTGTTATATCAGTTATAGATATAGTAATTTTAACTGATTTTATAAAGATTATTGACTATATATCATTACTCGTTCCTTGATATTTTCTAGCTCAAATCAAATTTAATAAAACTTGTAATCAAAATGTTAAATAATTCAATCACTTATATAATTTTACTAAAGTCATCCAAATTCAGATATCAATACTTCCAGGTAGAAAACTTGAAAGCAGTAATTTGGAAGTGTTTACACACAATTAGCTCGTATTCAGCTAAAGAGAAAACATTTGACCCTCTTAAGACAGTAGATCCATTATAAGAAAAGTTATCGTACCATTTCTGGAATAGGTACCTCCAGCTGTGTACCAGAAGGTGCTTGAATGGCCAAAAGTGTATCACCTGGTGAAAAAAAATATTTTTAAGTTTTAGAAAATACTACTGATCTTGGAATACAGTGGCAAGAGTATGGGCTCTGGAGTCAGAATGCTTGGGTTTGAATCCCAGGTTAGGTGACCTTGGGCTTTGGTTCCTAATTCTGCAAAATGGGGGAAACATAACTTACTGCATAGGCTTGTTTTGAGGATTAGCTGAGGTAATACATGTAACAGTGATCTTAGAAGAGGGTAAATACTTAGTGTTAGCTCTGTTATTCTCATTAACAAATTCAGCTCAAGTTAATTTTGCTTTCATTCAGTCTTGTATAAAGTCTGAAATTCTTGAAACCTTTAGCCTTAAGTAACATTGTTTACTTGAGATTTTTAAATTACTTAAGTGACTAGGGATACTAGAGATTAGATATGATACTGTGAAAACTTGAGCTTAAATGAACTTAATTTTAAAGCTAAATTCTACAGCAGACTCTGTTGAGTTGAAGATTAAAAATACTTTCCCCAAACTTTCTTAGAAAGCTCAGGACAGGGGTGCCTGGGTGGCTCAGTCAGTTAAGCATCTGCCTTCGGCTCAGGTCATTATCCCAGAGTGCTGGGATCAGTCCCTGCATGGGGCTCCCTGCTCAGTTGGGAGCCTGCTTCTCCCTCCCCCTCTGACCGTCCCCTGGCTCATGCTCTGGCACTCTCTCGCTCTCTCTCTCTCAAATAAATAAAATCTTAAGAAAAGAAGAAAAAGAAAAAGAAAGCTCAGGACATATGGTGGCAGAGTAAAGCAGTAAGTCCACACATATTGTCAATATAGTCTTGGAAAGTCAGATTTCACTCGGCAAGGTGCTTGGCAGATCTTTTTTTATGTGCATAATACATAAGACTGTCCGTTTAATAAGCCCTGCATAACTAAATATAAATATGTATGCAAAATTTAATTTTACTTGTGTTATAATTATGGGAACACATCCCCCCTCCCGCTATAGTTAAATACGCTGTATTTTCCTTTCAAGGAGAACACATGGAGGCAGGGGATGGAATAGGGTTAGGAATAATTGTCCTGGTTATAAAATGGATTCACCTAACTCTGCCTTCATGCTTTCTTTGAGTTCATTTGTGACCAGCACACTTGCTTCATACAGTTTCATAAACAGTGCCAATAAGAACCATGTTCTGTTCAAATTTGGTAACTGACACTACATTTCTGTGACTTTGAGACTGCTGTTTCATCTTTCTCTGACTTAGCTGCCCCTCCCACACAGTTTACACCTACCAATGCAGTCAATGAAGTGAAAACTGAAAAGCAGTTACTGTCATGAGAACAGAAACAAAAGCAACCTATAACTACAGAGCAGTGTTGAATGACACAGAATGTCCACAGTTCCTGAAAATAATGACTTCGGGTGAGTGCCTGGGGAATGTTGAATCACTCTACGCTACATAGATCAATAAGAGGAAGTATGTTAGAACAAATTGACTAACAGTACTTACCATTAAAGCAATTACAGATGTCTTCATGAGTTACATAGGAAAATGTACTGTCATAAGAGTTAAGGAACAACATGTATACCAAGGTCTAGGCATTTAAATTAAGATAATAAATCTGCAGGCCAAAACAAAATGACCAAATGCATGAAGGTGCTGCATGGTAAGATAAAAAAAAAAAAAAAAGTCTTTAGTCTGGAAAGGCAAAGACAAAGGTCCATTAGAGGAGTGCCCATCCTTTGCTCCAAGAAGAAGTCACTTTTGATTTTCTGTGACATGAGGACCTTTGAGAGAGATGAAAAACAGTGCATATTGCTCACGGAGACAGGGCTTCTGGAGGGGAAGATATCAGTGGGGAAAAGGGTGCTATCAGTAGGAGTGGAGAGTGACCAAATTGAGAATCTTCCTGGGTCATGGCTTAGGGAACTGGAAATGGCCAGAATCTTGGAAAGCAGTGCCGCAAAGTCCAAGATCAACTAGTTCAATGGTTTTTGTATTTTGGGGCTCCACAAGACACAGCTTGAAGGGGTGCCTGGGTGGCTCAGTCGTTAAGTATCTGCCTTTAGCTCAGGTCATGATCCCAGGGTCCTGTGATCGAGCCCTGCATCGGGCTCCCTGCTTGGCGGGAAGCCTGCTTCTCCCTCTCCCTCTGCCCCTGCTTGGGTTCCCTCTCTCGCTGTGTCTCTCTCTGTCAAATAAATAAATAAAATCTTAAAAAAAAAAAAAAGACAGAGCTTGAAAACCCCATCGTTATCAAACTGTTAAGGAGCTTTGATCTATAGAAATAGCAAATGAGATCATGGACTTACTCAACAAATTGCCAAAACAACATAAAAAATTAATTGTATACATTAGTCAAAAATTCATGAGAGGTAGTAGAAGATAAATGCCATTAAGAGATTCCATAAGAGTACAGGCAAGTTTACAAATCAAGAGAATCATTGGTATTTGAGAGAATAGTGCTTTTAAGAAACACATGAAGTATATCCCTAATATTTTTCCCCCACATAATATGATAAATACATAAGCCTTGGTCCCCAACCTGAAGTAGGTACTATCTTTGAGTTAATATTAGGCAGAAAGTGTCCTGGATTGATTGCAGGTCCATGATATTTTATTTTCAAGCCAAAATTAATTTTTCAAAACTTTTGAGAGTTACTGAATTTTTGCCACTTCAGAACACTGAGCATAATTATTTAAATATACCTATGCATTTAACAATGACTTCTAATATTCAGAGACCCCCTAAGGACACTTTAGCTAGCATATTGCATCCTATCAATGGTAGATTGAAAGTGGATGAATTTTTTTTTCTCAATGCAACACAGGAATAATGTTAATAGATGTACTGTGTAGTTTAAGAGGTAAAAACTTTTCAAATATTAGTATAAATTGTTAGAATGATATTGTAAAATTAAAATATTATATTCACTTACAAAACTTTTTAGAACACTAGAATAAAGTAACTGATCTTCAGACTGGAAAATATATAAATACAAATTCTATGGCTATATGTGTAACTTATTTAAAAGGATATCTATTATTAATGGAGTCGTCCATCACATTTTTGATGCTTTGCTGTAGCCACAACTTCTGCTGATCAAGTTCTCTTTCCTTCAGTTCTAGATCTTCAATTTCAGCTTTAAGATATCTTAATCTATCTATGACTTCTTTAGTATTACAGCCAGCACCTACACCTCTTAAAAACATATAAGAATTAATATTTCCAGCATCAAACCCAGGTTAACATCACTTAATTTTTATAATAATAAAAACTGACTGAATTAGTAATTTATTCAAGACAAAAAATCTTTACAATCTTCTAAAAATCAAGCATTACAATCCTTAGAAAATTTAAACATCATACCTCTGAATATATTTGCTTAGGAAATTTATTGGCAAGAACAATCAAATTATAAAAATTCTCAATGCATTTGCCATACAGAAAATGAAAATTTTCATAAAGTCTAAAAAAAGTTCTCAGGATATTCTAGAATGGTGTTTGTCATCTGAAAGGCCAGGCTAGTTAGTGACTGGCACCAAAAGGATGTCAAAGCTAACAGTCACACCTGGAAGTGTCATGACGTAGGCTGAGATGCTAGTAAAATAAATTACAACCTTTTAATATTTTGGTGAGATTCTGGCTTTAAAACAAAACAAAACAAAACAAAAAACTAAGGCCAAAGGGGACAAATTTGCAGAACAGAAAGTATTTTTTACATTCAAACATACAACCATACAACAGTTAACAAATGACAATATGCATTTCAATCAACTACTATATAGAAGGTACATATTCTATATATAGGACATAGTTCCTGTTCTTAAGGAGTTTATATTAGTTGGGCAGCTAAACACTTAGGCAGAGAGGGATTAATAATACAACGCAGTATGCAGTGTGTGCCAAATGTGTAACTTGAGGGAGAAAATAAGATTTGAATTTTCAGAGTGTAAATCAAACGGTGGACAGAGTAAGGGAGCGTGCCAATGCAGGAGTGACATATACAGAGGCCCAGAGCGGTGTCCAGGGAAAGAGAAGGGGCCTGGTGAGACTAGAGAGCCGAGAGAGGATTTAGGAGCGCTAAAGAGTAGAAAGGTCAGATTTTACAGAGCGTTAGGAAGAAAAGTAAAGGTTTTAGAGTAGGGTACTGGTTTGTAACTTACTTCCATTGTATGCTATTTTTTGACTTTTTTTCAATCAGGTCAATTCCCTCCAAGACATTGGTGATATCATAAATTCTTCTTTTTTGTCTCACAGCCAAAGTATCTGCAGCCTGTTTTCAAAAAGGGGAGGGGGGAAAGGGGGCAGGCAAAGAACAATGAAATAAAGGACAATTCATATTTTAAAGCCAAAAAGGGTTGATTATTAAGTTCACAGCATGACAGCCGAATCCCAAATTTGACCTGGTCAGTTGCTTGGGAACAATAGGTGGGTATGTTCAAAGCATCTCTCAAACATTGCAAATACCAAAGAAATTATTCCATTTAAAAGCCAGCAGATGTTAGAGTGGGGAAAAAAATATACGAAGGGTCATGACACAAAGCCCGCAGAAATAAAAGAACACAATAAGAATACTTCATGTCACCTTATGGACTAATCCTGAGGAGGAGTACTAATTGTCTACCCATGTCACTTCCTATTTCATTTCTCTTTTCATAAACAGTCTTGTCTAAAAACAGCCTTAATTGTTTTTTGAAACTTTGAAAAATTGTATCTCAGCAACCTGTTAATAATTAAGTCTAGAGACTTGGGGGGGAATTCTAAATTATACATATACTTGTAGTACCGAAATATACCATCTACATTTTTTAAACTCACAATGAAAATGGAGGAGTGAATCATGCCATCCCAACACAAAGTATAAAATCAACAAGAAATCAAAATCTATAGCACAAAGTTGTGGTACCAGCAAATATAATACAAAAGCTTGGTAGTTTGACTCAACAAAAGTAAGGTCAACAAAAATATTTCATGCTACCATGTTATGAATAAATGCAGGAATGCTAGACTGTTTCTCTAATTGGTTCCTTCATATTTATGAGCTTTGTTCCCCAATGAAATAGAACCTTAAGAAAGAAGTTATCCTACAGCTCTTTTTCAGGGTGAATTACACAATAACCTATCTTGAATGTGGAGTCATGTGATAAGAGTTATGGTAGTAAAGAAAAAACACATTTATGTCCTTACAAAATTCAGCACATTATCCAAATTAATGAACAGAATTTAGTTTCATATAATTGGTTACCAGCTCTCCCAAGGCATCACTACTTTCTTGATTCTTTAAAAACATAGGACACACACACACACACAATCCGGGACAGCATATTATTAGCAATATGGACCTTCTTTCTACAGGAGCAAGTGTGACTAACTTCATAGGCATTTAACGTCGATTTTATCAATCCATTTATTGTGCTACCAAAATACCAGACAGTGGTCTGTCCGATTAATTAATCATTCAGGCCTTCAGGAAGGGGATTCATGCTTTAATCAGTGGACCAGGAGAATAAATAAGATGTGGCAGAAAGAATGAAGAACCAGAAACCGAGGCTCTGAGTCCCCAGCTCTGACTATTTTGGTTCCATCTCTTCTAGAGAACCAGAAAATTAAAAGTAGGATGAGGCATGGTTTCATTGATCTCCTCTTCCCTTCTACTTAGCAATTTCCTTCCTGTTTTATCAACATTCCTAAAGTTGCTTGAGTCTGAGGCTGTTTTTCTAAAGAGCAATAATCTCCTGCAAAGTTAACTGTAAAAATCTGAAGTTGAGGATTCATCTCTTACTTCCCTCAGAAGAGGTCTTCTTGAGAAGTAACCCAGAGCCCTTCAAGCCAGCTCTGCGGTATCCGTATCTATGTACTCACACACAAAAGCCTTCACAACCATAGCAACAACTCACCGGTTAGGGTATTAGGGTATGTTTGTATGAACCAGACTGCAAGAGCTATCCAAGGTCATCAGGCAAAGAGCCATCAGAGCTCACTTTTAGACCAAAATTTTTTAAAGTTTATAATCTAGCTTATAATTCATTACTGTTTTAACATGACAAATTTTAGTCCTTTATTTCCAAAACTAAACATTATTTCTTAAATACTCTTCTATTTAACTATATAAACACATAAATGCCCAGCACGTACAGAACATTATCACTTAAAAAGGATCTCCAGGAGGTTTTTATTTCAGCAGCCCTGTCATTCTTTGGACCGTAGGTTCTGGAGTTTGGCACACAGGGATCCAGTCACAGTGCCGCCACTTCCTATCTTCAGCTCCTCTCAGACTCATGAAGCCTCATTTCCTTTTTTGTAAAATGCAATAATAACATATCTGAATTGTGGAGATTAAACTAGATAATCTTAGCACAACTGTCTGCTACGCGGATCGTGGATGAGATTTAGAGTTTGTGTGTATACAGACCTATCACATTTTATGTAGTGTTTTGGAAAGTTGTGTGAATTCTTAAAAGTTTTATGAAGTAATTCAAGACATCATATTCAATAGAATCACACAATGAATCACCATGATCATCATTCATTTAGCCACTATGATGTGTCAGGCTTGTTCTGTGTCTTATGGATAGAGTAGTAATGGAACAAAGTCCCTGCCCTCAAAAAGGGGGAAGGAGTTAATAATATGCAAATAGTTATGTTAGGAGGAATGCATGTAGGGGCTATATATACAGAATTTTAAAGCTCCCCGAATAAGCTGGCATTTGAATTGAATGGAGAAAGTGACCCTGAAGAATATCTGACAGGAAGCAGCAAGTGCAAAGGCTCTGAAGTGGGAATATGCTTACACTCTTCAAGGAAAGACGGGCAAGCCAGTATGGCCAGAAGAGTGAGTGAGAGGGAGAATGGTGAGAGAAAGGGGTGGGGAGGGAAGGAGGGAGACAAGGCAGGGGGAGGAGGTAGTGAGAGACAGAGATAAAGATGGGGACACCCGGATAGCGAGGGACCAGATCACTGGGGTCTTGCAGGCCATTGTCAAGATTTCAGCTCTTATCCCCCGTGAAATGGAAAGCCACTGGAAGGCTTTACACACATGGTCATTTGATGCCCTGCTTTAAAACGTTCTCTCTGGGTGTTCTGGGTAGGAAAAAAAGGCTATTGCGAAAGCAATGGCAATAATCCATTCGAGAGATGGTTAGTGGCTTGAATGAACAGTTAACTGAGGATGTTGTGAGAAATGGTGAGATTCGGGATATATTTTGAAGGTATAGCAAGCAGTAGATCCAGAGAGCAGAGTCAAGGGTAACTCCACAGTTTTTGACATGAGCAACTGGAGATGAGGAAGACTGCAGAGGAACAGGTTTGAGGCACTAGAAATCAGGAACTTGGCTTTGGATAATTTGACCTCCAAGGTGAGAAGTTCAGAAGACCACTGGACACGAGTGTGTGGGTGAGCAGAGAAGTCCAAGCTAGAGATATCATTTCAGTAGTCATTAGTAAATAGACATTTTAGGTCACGGGATGGAACCCAATGGATTCACCTAAGGAGGTAAAACTAGAAAGAGAAGATGTCTAAAGGCTGACCCCAGGGTACTCAGTGTTTAAGATCTGGGAAGTAAGGAGCAACTTGACACTGAAGTAAGAGAAATAGAAACAGTGGCATCTTGAAGCCAAGGGAAGAGTGTAAGAAAGAGTGACCAGGTCAAGTACCGCTGTCAGGGTGAGTCAGATGAGCAGTAGACCTGATCATGGACTTGACTTTGGCAAGCCGCTGGTGACCTTGGTCAGAGCTGTTTTGACTGAGTAATGGAATCAAAGCCTTAATGGAGAGATTCCAACAAAGAGTGGAAGGAAAGCTACAGCAGACAACTCTTTTGAAGAATTCTGCTGCAGAGAGGAACAGAAGAATGGGGCAGTAGCTGTAGGGGATTGTGGGGTCCCTCCAGGAAGTTTTTTTTCCCCCCTTCCTTTCTCTCTTCTTTTAAAGATGGGAGCTAATTCAACATGTAAATTATGCTGATAAGAACCGTCCAATAACGGAGGCAGAGGGATAATTAACCATGCAGGAGAGAGAAAGGACCGCTACAGGTAGGCAAGGAAGAATGTGAATCAGATGAGCTGAGGATTAGCCTTAGATAATAATAACAAGGCATATTAATAACTGCATTCCAGCCGAGTTTCTGGTGCAGATGTAGATAGGATAATAGACCAGGTAGGGGGAGAGTTTAGACATTTCCTTCTGGTTGCTTTCTATTTTCTCATAAGTGGAGGTTGTTGGGGGGGAAGTGAAGAGGGGAGGGAATGGTTAATGGTTTAGGAGAAAGATGAAATATTCATCTAGGAGAGTAGGAGTAAATACTGTAGAAGGAATGCTCGACACAATATTAGTCCTCTTGAAGTTAGTCATTGTGAATTTAAACTGAGACCCATGAGCATCAGTGTGCACTTTTCTCCAGCCTTGGAGAACAGCCTGGGTACTGTCAAGGGGCAGGCAGAGAGCAAATGGTTACATCCTCATCCCATGTTGCCACATGGCTATTGAATAAGCGCACATGCGCATGCATCAAATTTACTTTAAAAGGTTACATTTGCTATTACAAATTTGACCTATAAAACACAAAGGAAGCATCTATTTGTACAAACCAACTCAGTTTAGGGGGAAGATAAACAACCCTCTGAAAGAAATACATTTCCCCTCCAAATAGTAAATCCTTTTCTAAAACTATGTCACCAATTGCAAACCAAGTGGTATCTATATGTGGAACAAAATTAAAGCTTGTGATGCTTTTTGGAGGTGGGTAAGATAAATCAGGAGAACTGAGAGAGATCACATGTAAGTGCTTAAAAGGGCTTTAAGAATTTCCTGGCCCCACCCCTTCAGTTTAACAAATGAGTCCACTAAGACCCAATGTCAACTCTGGGTGAGGGAGAGAGATTATGTGGTAGGTTTATTTGAGTTAAGATTAGCTGCAGCTCATTTGTTCAACAATGCTCTTCTGACGGAGCATGATGTTGCATTCAAATGCGCTAACATACAAACAATAACTATGGGAAACATCCCGTCTTTCAGGTTCTCCATCTGCAAAGCAGGTACTTTACTCTCTTCCAGGACCATAACTGTCAATACATGTGTACTCAGTGTTTCAGCTACTGTGCTTTGGAAACTAATACTACAGTCAGTGGGGCCAGAATCTAAAGGTAAAAAATGTGCCAGGGAAACACTATATAAAGTCAGTTAGTTATATACACATGTGCACACACATAACAGATGATAGGATGTTAACAATAAGGTGAAAAGAACCCAAGTGATGCCCCCAGAGTGCCCATAAA